CTGGGTTGACTCTTGTTACTGGTGCATACATAAGCCAGAGTGGGTGAGGGTTGGTTGGGCCTTGGCGCAGCATCAGCTGGCAGATGCTGGCATGGGGAGCTAATTCTGTCAAGTTAAACTTCAGAAACACCTGGACAGTGCAAGATCCAGGAGTAGGAGTGGCCCAGTAGGGAAACAATGGGCACTTCCCTTGTGGGTTGCCATTCCAAATGATCAGCATGAGAACCATGACTGGAGCAGGCATGACTAGACAGAATGGTACCTGCTGACAGGTGTATGGGCTGGATAGTGAGGCTGATTGGGTTGAACTAGGCTTCAATGTCCACTGACATGTACAAGAGTTAAATGAGATGTGAGACAGACTGAACCAGTATGCTGTACATACTGGCAATCACAAGAACCAGGGAAAGGGACAGACCTGGTGGGAGTTATTGTGGGTCACTCTGACTAGGCTCCAGTTCCCATTTTTTGTGTGAGGGCCAAGTGTGTGGTTGGCAGGATTGGACTGGGCTGCAAAACCCATTGGTTTGTGTAGAAGACAAGGCTGGAGGCAGAACTGACCCAGCAAATGCAACCACCAGCATGCATATAAGCTGATTGGGATGACAGACTGTACTGGACCCTGTATTGGCAAGCACACACAAGAATCAAGTCTGGGATTACCTCAGATGAAGTTTCTATGGTGATCTCCCCAACTGAACTGCTGGGCTCAGAATCCCAATCTTGAAGAGAATTGCAGATTCCATGGTCTGACAATGGAGTGCATATGTCGGGGCTGGGCCTCCTCAGTGGCCTAGACGAAGCAGTGGACAGCATTTCCATGTGCACATGGAGAATATGGCAGTACCTTGGAGTCTGCAGAGGATACCTGGTACCACAACAGAGGGTGGAGAACAGAATGAATCTATCAACTACCTCAGTCAGGTGATGGTAGTGAATATCTGGGCAAACAAAGACTCTAAGGTGGACTATGTCAACCAGTGGATTCTGGAGAAATTTCATTGTGATTGGAGTGGTGAGATCAGCAGTAATTTGGAACTACTGAACTATCAAAACCTCATGAGCAGGACCCTCAGAGCATACCCCACACTGGGGACCCTGGGGTGGTGTTGGGTGGCTGTCCCCCTTCCCAGGGTGCAGAGGCATTTGGGAGGCATGCCCCCCCCCCCCCGATACAGGAAGGAAAAAAAAAAAAGAGAAAAAAAGGAGGGGCAGTACAGTGGCTTAACTGTATGGTGTCTCCCATGTGTGCAGGTAGGCCCAAACACCTTGGCCATCTTCTGCTACTTTTCCAGGGACATTAGCAGGGAACTAAATCAGAAGCATAGTAGCTGGATCTCAAACTCGTGCTTTGATAGAGGATGCTGGAGCCACAAGTGGAGGCATAATCTGCTATGTCACAATGTGGCCCACATTTTAATTCTGCGGAGCCACCATACTGTCATCCAACCTGGCAGCTCCATTCACAGTGTCATCAATGACACACCACCATTGTAATTTATCCACATCTGTAATAATACTCTTTCTCTTATTTTCTTTCTTTTTTTAAGATTTATTTATTTTTATTGGAAAGGCAGAGTTATAGAGAGGAGACAGAGAGATCTTCCATCCACTGGTTCACTTTCCAAATGGCTACAACAGCTGGAACTGAGCCAATCCAAAGCCAGGAGCCAGGAATTTCCTTTGGGTCTCCCACATGGTTGCAAGGGGCCTGAGGACTTGAGCCATCTGTGCTGCTTTCCCAGGCTGTAAGCAGAGAGCTAAATGGGAAGTGGAACAACTAGGACTTGAATTGGCACTCATATGGGATCTCAGCACTTGTAAGCTGGAGGATTAGCCTGTTAAGTCACAGTACTGCCTCGCCACCCTCCTGCCTTTTTTTTTTTTTTTCTGTTTTAATAATGCTCATTCTGGTGGGTTCCTAGTGATTTAATTTAATTTGCATTTCCTAGTGACTAATGATATTGTAACTCTTGCCATGTGCTTACCAGCCATCTTTATGTCTTTGGAGAAATGTCCCCTCAAGTCCCAAGGGAACCACCTGAATCCTCTTCTATTTTATCTTCTACTTACCTCTAAACAATATTCTGCTATGTCTTTTAATTTTTCTGTATTTTATTTGAGAGTTAGAAACACAGTCCAATGGACAGAACTCCTGTCTGCTGATTCATTCCCCAGAAAGGGCTGGGGTTGAGCCAGGATGAAGTTAGGGGTTGAAAACTCAAACCAAGTCCTTCATGATTGCTACAAATGCAAATACTTGAGCCATCTCCTATGGCCTCCCAAGGCTGACACGAGCAGGGAACTGGAAATAGGAGTGGAGCCAGGCCTCAAACCCGGGGACCTTGGGGATTTTAGCAGCCTCAAACCCAGCTGGCATCTTGGGGATTTTAGCAGCCAGGCCAAATGCCCCTCTCCCCCTCTGCCAGGTTTAACTTCCAGGGTTAGTAACTCTTTTTATTCTGTTTGCTAACTACAGTTAAGTCTTCTGAACTTTATTCAAGACTTAAGAATTCAACAACAATATTTATATTGTGAGCCTCTGCTTTGAAGCTCCAGGAGCAGGAATCTTGGCAAAAGGGAGAGTAATAAGGGCTGACTCAGACACCAGCAGAAGCTAGACCACAGACCGCCATCAGGCCTGCAGCTTGCAGATGGTGTGCTTAGCTCAGAAAGCAAGCCCCGGGGAATCGACTTGGTAGGAAAGAGGAAGAAGGAAGTAGAAGGGTTATGGATGGCCCATGTGTCCTGCTCCCCACTTTCAGGGGATCACTCAGGAATGAGCAAAGTTCAAGACCTGGGCCCAGCATGATGGATCAATTGTCTAATCTTCCTCCTTCAAGCACTGGCATCTCGCATGTACACCAGTTTGTGCCCTGGTTGTTCCACTTCTCACCCAGCTCTCTGCTTGTGACCTGGGAAAGCATCAGTGGATGGCTCAAATCCTTGGGACCCTACACCCATGTGGGAGACCCAGAAGAAGTTCCTGGCTTTGGGTGGGCTCAGCTCTGGCTCTTTGTGGTCATTTGGGGTACAAACCAGCAGATGAAAAATCTTTCTGTCTCTCCTTCTCTCTATAAATCTGCTTTTCCAATGAAACATGAATAAATCTTAAAAAAAAGAAAAAAGGCATTTAAGATGGAACCCATTCCCTCCTTTTCTCTCCAGGACTCTGTCACACTAGCAGAGGGTATGGGTGGGCCCACCAGATCTGCATCTGCCTCTCCCTTCAGAGGTCCAGAGCCGAGCAATGAGGGACCCATGGACACCCAGCAACTTGCAACTCAAACTTGGGCCTCAAACTTGCACCCTATCTCCCCTGGGCCCAGCCAGCAGAGACAGGGAGATATTCGAAGGAGAAGGGCAGGCCTTTGCAAGCCCAGCTCCTGTCTTCCCTCTGGCCCAACCCCACATGGTATGAAGTGTGAGAGATGTGGGATAGGATGGCTGGCTGGCTGAGCTGGTGGTCCCAAGCCTCAGGCCCTGCCTGTGTGACTCAATTCTTCTGCAGGACACCCTCTTTCCCACAATGCCTTGTTTTCATCTGGGCCCTGGGGGGGTTGGAGGTGAATGTGATCATGCCAATGTAAGTGGGAAGCCCCACTGGAATTTTATGAAAGTGCTGTAGACTTTCAGGAGAGCACACAACCTTACAAAAGGAAGGGGCAGGGTGCTCACTCTCCACCTTCCTTCTCCCACCACCTGCCTCTGGGCCCACTCTACTCCTATACTCGTGTGTGTGTGTGTGTGTGTGTGTGTGTGTGTGTGTGTGTGTGTGTGTGTGTGTTCAACTTCTAAACACTTTCCCACTTTGTGCCCTAGATCTGCACTGGCCTTAGGGTGTTTCTCAGCATAGCAGGCAAGGACCTGGGATAAGAATTCAGACTTTTTTTCTCCCACCTCATAAGGACCCTCCAGGCCGTGGAGGTGGGAGGGATGAGGTCACATCGGGAAAAGTTGCACCCTGGAACCTGCTCATGACCTCAGCTGAGACGTTCCCAGCAAAGGGTAAAGGTCTCCTCAGGGCCAGCTCCACCCTCAGCGGCTCAGCTGCCCCGAGGTTACTTCATTTGTGGTAGATCAGGAGAGGGACCGTCGCCCTGGCAAGACCTTTTCCCCCTCTTTCTCAGAAAGAAGGGTTAAAGCTAGCCCAAGCCACTGTGAGCCACTCTTTGGAGCCTCCTGGCAAGGACCAGATATAGAAGGGCCTGTGGGGTCTTGGCGGTGCACCTCTCTGTCCACCTGCACCGGCGCCTCCAGCCAGCCAGGAGGAACGACAGGACCTCCCACGCAGCTTTCCCTGTTTCCCTGCATGCCTCCCAGCAGGGCCCAGGCCAAGGCGGGCCCATGGGGATAGGGGAGGGATACCTAAGTCGGGAACAGAGTCCCGGAACCTTACAGGGAGGGTCAAGCCTTAGCCACCGGTGGAGGAGTGGGAGGATGCTGCGTGCCAGACCCAGATACCTACAGGTGTCCTTAGCCAAACTGAAGGTCCGGCCTCGGGCCACGCCTGGAGGAGCTTCCTGCAGTACTCGGCATACCGGTCGCCTCGCCGGCTCCGCGGGCCTCTGCTCCAGCTGGCACGCCAGCGGGCACCTCACACCGGCTCCGCTGGCCTCTGGCAGGCAACGCGAGGGGCGGAGGACACGTGATCTATGCGCTAATTCGGGCCTGAGCAACTCACCAGTGATTTTCTGTCCCCTTTACGAAATCAACAAACTCTTGAGCCCTCAAGACTCAGTTGGTGGGGGAGGGAGCCCCTTGTCTTGGTTGCAGAAAAAAAGCAGAAGGCAATTTGTGGGTGGGCGCGGAGGGCTGCGGGTCTCAGGGACGGTGGCCCCCAGGACAGTGTGGCCACTCAGCTTCGCCTCGCCTCGCCTCGCCCCGCCCCTCCGGGACCGAGTCCTCCGCACCCCATAGGCAGAGGCGACCCTCCCCGCCTCCTTGCCTGCTGCGCGCTCGCTCCGCCTCAACTTACTTTAAAAGTTTAGTCCGGCCGCCGGGACGCGGGGCGAAGAGAGACAAGGCTGTCTGCGTCGGGATGCTGCGCCTGGGGAGGCTGTGCGCCGGCAGCACGGGAGTACTGGGGGCACGGGCCGCCCTTCCTCGGGGTGGGCAGGACGCGAAGCTGCAGGGTATCCGTCCGCTCAGGTAGGAGGCGTCGCACTCTGCTCTCCCAAGGGGCTTGGGGGAATCCTGTAGGGGTTCGCTACCCATCCCACTCGTGGCCTTGCAGCCTGCAGCTGCTGCATGTCTGGGTGGCGTGCATAGGGACATAGGTGCCCCTCCCTGTCTTGCACTCAGGGCCCCGGAAAAGCTGGAGCTTGGGGCTGCTGCTTCTGGCTGCAGTGAACCCACCGTGCGTCTGAGTTCTAACCCGGGACTCTGGATTTTTCTCTCTATGGGCGCAGGACGGAAACCCCAGCGTGGACCTGTAGCAGTTGGCCCCGGAGGGGGAGGGGCAAGGGCAAGGGCTCTGCTGTGTCCCCACGGCACCCCCTTCAAGGGTTCACTTGGGCATCTGCCCCACTGGCCCCAGCCCAGGCCCCTAAACGTTGCCCCTCTGCTCTTCAGCCACTAAAACACGAATTTCCGTCCTGGCTTCCTACTCCTGAGCCTGTTTGCTCTGTCCTCGGGTGGGGACTGGCAGCTGGAGAGTGTGCTGGTCCCAGGAGCTCTGATGAGTCCTGGGAACTGGCCCGGTGGCTGCAGGACCCCTGAGAGTTTTTGCAAAAGTGGAAGCCCGTCCTGGGTCAGATGTTTTTAGCCTGGTACTATCAGCTGCGCCCAGCAGAGGGGAGGCCTGCACTCGGGAGCCTGCCCTACCGCCCAGCCCAGCCAGCAGCTAATCTGTGGTGAGGACAGCACTTTTGGTGTGGGTTAACCAGATGGGGTCCGGGCCTGGCTCAGGGAGAAGGGGCCTGCACAAGGCTGTGTCTTACAGGACTAAATCTGGTATTAAAAAAAAAAAGTAAGCAAATACTTCCTTTTGGCAAGATCAGGACACTCTTCAATCTCTAATTCCTCAAAACTAGAAAGTAGGCTGTGGTTTCTATCAGTGCCTAATGACTAGAGAAAGCTCCGTGGAGATGGCTGGTCTGTGGACTGCACTGGGAGCAAGAGAGCTGGGTCTCTTAACCCTTTCTCTCTCCTTCCTTCCTTCCTTCCTTCCTTCCTTCCTTCCTTCCTTCCTTCCTTCCTTCCTTCCTTCCTGGGCCTCCTCACCCATCCCCTGTCTTCCAGGCTCACCTCTGGACTCCTGGGAAAGTTATTCCCCCAAATGTACATCCCTTAAGTTGCTAACACAGGCCCATCAGGCCACAGTGTGGGACATTTCTTACCGTTGAGTTTATGTGTAAACAAAACAGGCCTGCTCCAAGCCGTGACCTCTATGAGTGGGGCTGGGCAGCAGATCTGAAAAAAGAGTCTGTGTTGAGAGGAAACCCATTTGTCCAGAGAGATAAAGAATTCTCAAGCATTTGGCCTAATTTTCCCAGCCCTCTCGCGCCCCTCTGCCTGCAGCCTTGCTGGCAGGCAGCTTTGCCTGATTTCCCTCCTTTACAAGCTTCTGCTGGCCAACCTCGCATACATGCTCCTAAGGACACAGGCTGTGCCCAGCGCTTAGTGGGCACTCTGCCGAGAGAGACCATGGAACTCCGTCCTCCATATTCCAGGAGTTTGCACATTAGTGGAAGAAACATAAAAGAATTGCTGTACAGTGTGCCAAGTGTGTGAAGTGGAAGCGGCCTGGACTTGTGTCCCCTGCTCTTTTGGCGCTAGTCACATACAACCTGCTCTTGTGCTGCCCAACCCCACTTCCCTCCTCTCCACCCCCACAAGTCCAGTCTGTTCCTTCCGATCTCTGTGTGTGTTCTTTTTTTTTTTTTTTTTTGCTTGATAGGCAGAAAACAGGAAACTTTGAAAAACATATGTCTTGAGTGACAGCCCAGGCTCCTCCCCCTACCAATTGCCTGATCATAGGCCTTACTTCATCCTGATGAGCCTCGTTAATTTGGTGCTGGTTTTCCCTACTTAACAGGTGGCTGGGATGATGGATAGAATTTGCTGTTCTGAGATTGGGCTGGTTTCTGAAAACCTAGGAATGTTGTCTTCCCAGCAGTTCCAATCAGTTTGAAAGTGAGAGAGACTTCATTCCTCCGTGGTCTCTGGGACCTGATTCTTTCTCCTGGCCAGTGGCCAAGATGTTAGCTTTTGTCCAGCCGCCAGTCTAGTCCTCTATCCAAGACAGGGCCTGCCCACTGCCTCCCCCAGAGTTCCCCAGCCACCTACTCCTGCCCTTGTCCACATGCTCCTTTCCTGAGAAAGATGATAGAAATTTTCTGGGCTTCTGAAGACCACCCCCCATCCAAGGGAGGCATCTAAGGAAAAGCCTGGGACGCACAGTGCCTCCTAGTCTAGGTCTCCTTTACAGCTTGCCTGGGGCAGCCTGGGAGGCAGCTGTGTGCAGGTGTCAGGAACATTTGGCGCAGGAAAGGACAGAGAGAACAGTAGCTGAAGCTCCCAGGAGGTGGCATGGTGTCCAGAGATCTGCAAGTCCATAGGCCTGGTACTGACCTAGTAATAGGATCATGGGGTAGGGGGCTTCAGGGACCACTCCCTAGGGAGCTATTATCACCTAGGCCCAGCAACTGAAATACACCTCCTGTATCAGCAACTTGTGTTGGGACAGGGAGTATTTTGAGTGAAAACTATTAACTGCAATAACAAAGGAACTCAGTGACAAATCCCCCAAATGATTTACAAACGATCTGGCCATGATATCCTTACACATTCCTCTGGGGCTCTTATAATCCAAAGGGAACAGCAGGGAAAAATGAACTATGAACTTGGATCTCATAGTCAGTGAATGGAGCACAGCTGTTGTAGTTAGCCACCTCCGTCGTGCATGTAGTGGTAGGCTGCCATCTGATACAGAGAGTGCAGTGGTTATGCGGGTGAGTGAACTGGTGTTCATGGGAAGAATTGCTCTCCTAAACAAGAGATCTATAGGGTAAGACCTTAGAACACTGATGCAAGATAAAAAAAAGTGTGCATAACCATTAAGAGTGTCCATCAGAGTGGAATTTGATGGGTGGCATGGACAAGATGACTTCCTAAGGAGACTAGGACTCCAGTCCAGTTTCTGAAATGATAGGACTGTGGGCTTAAGCCTTTTTACTATTGTGTAATCGTACTTGTGCTTTTTGCACTATTCTTTAAGGTTGATTGATTTGAAAGGCAGAGTGACTGAGTTAAAGGTGGGGTGGGCAGAGACAGACATAGGTTCACTTCTCAAAATGGCTGGTATTGATCTAAGCCAAAGCCAGGGGCCAAGAACTCACCCCAGGGTTTCTCACCAGTGTGGCAAGGACCTAACTATTTGGACCATTTTCTGCTGCTTGTGCAAGTGCATTAACAGGGAGCTAGATTAGAAGTGAGAACAACCGGGATCAAATAGGCCCTCTAAATGAGATGCCTATGTTGCAAGTGGCCACTTAACCTACCATGTCACAATGCCACTACTCTCCCTTAAAAGATTTATCTATTTCTTTATGGGAAAAGCAAAATGACACAGAGAAAAGATCTTCCCTTGGCCTGTTCACTCCCTTCCATTAGCTGGGGCTGTGTCAGCCTGGAGCTAGGAGTCAGGACCTCCATCTGGGTCTCCCATGTGTGTGGCAAGTACCTGAGTGCTTGAGCCATCCCCATGCTACTTCTTAGCAGCATTAGCAGGGAGCTGGATTGGAAGCAGAGTAGCTCACTGAACCCCTTAACATGGACTCACCCCTTAACATGGACTTAATCATTTTGAACCCTGGATGTGAAGCCCTCATTATGTTTTCCTTTCAATCTAAAACTGGGAACTCCAAAAGAGAGCCAGTCTGGGGCTCAAACATACAACTTTGCAGTTGAGCAGTCTGGGGACTTGAGGCTAAACTTTTCTCCTGTGAAAAGTGTTGTGGAGACGGTTATATGAGCCTACTTACATAAGAACATGCTGTAAAAAAAAAAGAAAGGAAGAAAGAAACATGCTTTAACAGCTTGGCCAAGGCAACGTTCACCCGTAGCTTGCCGGGGAGAATTGTTTTACAGGCCTTGCTTGTGTAACAATGGCTGTGCACATTCCTTCCGTGACCTGGAGGCTCATAGTTCAGCAACTGTTCATAGAGTGCAAGGGAGAAGGCTTCAGCAGAGTGAACTGGCTAAGCCAAGCTGGGCTGGCTATTGAGGATGCCCTGGCAGGCCAGCGTACGGGCTATTATTTCACGCCCTAGTGTCCTGACAATGACAGACACTAATTGTCCTACCAGGGACACATCCTTTTTACAATCAAATGAGCTGTGTTTCTAGCACTTGAGCCTTGTTTTAGAAACCTCAGTGACATGCAAGTGCTCCTTGATTTGGAAGTTGAAGGACAGGAGAAGACCTAAACCTGCCTTTTCTAACTCAGTTATGGCTCTAGAGAAGTTGTTCAACCTCTCTGGCCCTTGCTTGCTTTGGACAGTCAGCGTTCGTTTCTGTCCACGTTCTGAGATTCCTCAAGAGGCTGCTTTGGCGCCAACAGGGCTGTGGGTTTGATGGGGGGGGGGCCTTCGCGCTGCATTCCTTGGAAACCACGTGCATGAAAAGCTCTCCTAACCCTTTGACATTGTGTAATTCACATTCCTCTGGGAGTGAACAGAAAATATGCAGAGGTTTATCCCTAGAAAGCCGAAACCCAGCCCTTGCATATAACAGCCTCTCGTCCACTGAGGGTCCAGGGTCTTGAATCAGCCTCCGTGCCTGACTCCTGGCTCTCTTTCCTCTCTGTCTATATCCAACCAATAACTCCAGGGAGCACCAGCAGCCTAGTTACTTCCCCCCCATCCCCTACCCCCTGGCCAAGTATTCCAAACTTCAAAGAAATGTCTTGATTTTTAGAGACAATTTGCCGGACTTCTGACATGCTTTGTTCACATACCCCCAGAATACACATAGGCCAGTAGTTTCATTTGAAGGTCCAAAAATGTAGAATATTTTGCTCAAAATCTTTATTTGTGGCTGTTACAACTTGGGAGTTCTTTGTAGTCTGCATTGTTCAGGGAGGTTATGTTGGGTGTGGAAAGAGTATGAGACCTTATGATATAATTACATTCAGTAAACCACACAGA